CTCCCCTCCCCTCCCATCTCATCTCCTCCCCTCTCCTCTCTTTGCCCTCTTCTCTCCTCCTCTCCCCTCCCGTCCCTTCCCCTTCTCATCTCCTACTCCTCACTCTTGTTGCCCAGGTTGGAGTGCAAAGGCATGGTCTTGGCTCACTGCAACCTCTGCCTTCTGGGTTCAAGCAATTCTTCTGCCTCAGCCTCTCAAGTAGCTGGGATTACTGGTGCATGCTACCCAAGCCCGGCTAATTTTTTTGTATTTTTAGTAGAGATGGGGTCTCACCATGTTGACCAGGCTGGTCCTTTTTCTTTTTGAATAGTGAACTTTTTGGCATTTTACTTTTTATATATTTCTTTTAAAAATTTTTTTATTTTACGTTTGGGGGTACATGTGAAGGCTACATAGGTAAACTCGTGTCGTGGGGGTTTGTTGTACATATTATTACATCACCCAGTTATTAAGCCCAGTACTCAACAGGTATCTTTTCTGCTCCTCTCCCTCCTCTCACCCTCCACACTCAAGTAAACCCTAGTGTCTGCTGTTTCCTACTTTGTGTTCAGAAGTTCTTATCATTTAGCTCCCACTTATAAGCGAGAACGTGGCATTTGGGTTTCTGTTCCTGCATTAGTTTGCTAAGCATGATAGCCTCCAGTTCCATCCATGTTCCTGCAAAAGGCATGGTATCATAGAAACAATGTTACTAAGCAGAAGTAAAACTATCTAATAAAAATTAGCACTGTCTGTTAAATAATAAGTGTGTCCTAAGAATTTTTGGCGGAATACAACCACGGATTAAATGTACTACACAAAAAGTACTTTTAGATCACCAGATCCTCTCCCAACACTCCCCTATGCCTACTTCCCAGAAAAAGCAAAGAAACAAATAAAAAACTAAAACTGCTGAAGGAAATGCAAGCAACAGGGCATGGAAATCGTAGAGCATAAAGAACCATGCTGACCGGGTGTGGTGGCTCATGCCTGTTAATCCCAGCACTTTGGGAAGCCAAGGCAGGTAGATCACCTGAGGTCAGGAGTTTGAGACCAGCCTGGTCATCATGGCAAAACCCTGTCTCCACTAAACATACAAAAAATTAGCTGGGCATGGCAGTACGTGCCTGTAGTCCCGGCTACTCCAGAGGCTGAGCCAGGAGAACCGCCTAAACCTGGGAGGCGGAGGTTGCAGTGAGCCAAGATTGCGCCACTGCACTTCAGCTTGGACGAAAAAGCAAGACTCTGTCTCAGAACGAACAAACAAACAACAACAACAAAAACCAAGAACAATGCTAAAGATTTCACATGATCACCTAAAGAGCAAACATAGTTTACCTTGGTTTTTGGAGGTGGTTTTGGCGTGTCTCTTTCTAAGCCTCCTGTTAAAAGGATGGGCAGGGAGTTCTTACAACTGGCCTCCTATAAAAGAAGTATAAAGGAAACATTAGGGATTAAAAAACATTTACCCTAACCAAAAATTACAAGGAAGTGAAAAGAAATTTTTAAGAGAGCACATTTCTGGATTGAATTGTTCACATTAGAAGCTGGTGAAATTGGAGTAAGGGGTCAAAACTTTTCCTCTCACTTGTCGTATACAACAGTAAAGTAAGATCAGATGGTGATGGAGGAGGTGGGAGATATACAGTATATATATTCAGAGGTGATCTTTAAAAATCTTATCTGCACTATTATATCATTTTATCACATACATATCCACGCTAGACAGCTAGCTCTTGTTTTGAGAAGTGAATAGTTAAATCTCCAAAATCTCAACCAACAAACTTAAAGTTGCCAATGTTCCCCACATTTTACAGATGGGTTCTGACTCTTTACATACTCGATCTTAAACAAATTCCTTCAGATAATCTAGCAAACAACTATTAAATAGTGATAGTTTTGTATTAATACCCTGTGGAAGAATATACGCATATCAGTTTCCAGAATTATTAAACCTCTAAGTCCTTGGTTCACGCCAAAACATTTGCCAAAATAATGGCAGCAATTACAAGGCTGCAGCTGAGGCAGATCTGTATAGATTTATTAGTTTGTATTCCTACATGATAAACAGAAATGACAGTAATCTTGTTAGTTTTGTTGTTTCAATAATGCAGAGCCCCACTTCCAAATAGCCATTAACTTGGATAAGCTTTCCATAGATGATTCCATCTCCAAATTAAGATAGGAAAAGAATGCATAAAAGGAAAATTATAGACAAAAAGAAGGCTAAGGAGAAAGTCAGATTTTTTAGCTTCTTCCATAATTCTCTGTATCCCATTTCTTTCCCAATACTCCTGCTATTCAGTAATCTAAATCATATATTTTTTTAAAGTTTAGTCTATGGCTAATTCATCATAATCTTTTAAACATAATTTTAGTCTACATACTTTACAATATTATTAAAATTTGCTGGAATTCTATTCACTTATTTCTAAAGGGAACAATATATTATTAGGATAAAATATCCCTAAAGAAAGTAACGACACCACTTATTATGAATAAAGATTGAATCTTATGACGTATCAGGCACTGCTAAAGCCTCTGCATTTATAATGCCATTTTTACCCCCAATAGTCCTATGAGCTAGGAACTATCATCATCATCTCCCCTTTAAGGCTAACACAACACAGCCTTACAGAAATTCAGTTAACTTGCCCAAGGTCACACAGGACTCAAAGTTTGTTCTGTATAACTTTAGGGCCTGAGCTCTTACAGCTGTTATATGTTATTCATCTCCAATACACTATACTTGGCATCTTAAACCACTAAGTTGTGGAACCACCGCATTTTAAAGCCAAAAGAGTTTTTTAAAGGTCAACTAGTCTGCCTCCCTGATTTTACAGATGAGGGACTTGGATCCCGAGGTGATGTGTCCAAGATCACATAGACAGTGGTGAAGCTGAGACTCATGCTTGGATGACAAAGCAGTACACAGCACCTGTTCTCAGGTTTGTGCTAGGGACAAACATTCCCAGACACGTAGGGGATTGGAAGCTTCTTCTAAGCTGGGGAGTAGCTGCAGGTACTGCCAACACTCTCAGCTGCCTGTGGCCTCACGTAGCCCTATGTAAGTACCAAAGGGTACATTTCTGAGATCCCTAAATAAGTGTGCATTCTGGTCCTACCCTTTCCCACCAGTTACAACACCTGCTGGTGGTAAGCTGCTTTCTGGAAATAGTGAATGAACCCATTCCCGCTTCTGACTCACTGTGAGAGGGATAAACTATATCCAGCATGACATTTAGGAGAGCCAAATGCATAATCTATTGCATAACTTGGCTATGCTTGAATAACACAATTATGCTTTATCCTTGTACCCGTTTTTTAAACTACTGGTATATAAATGCTAGAATATGATGAAAAGAAACAAGGCTGGCTGTTAAGGGAAATTAATAGAAACATCTGATTTTTATCTATGACTGAGTGTTTATGAATGCCTATAATTCTTTCTTCCTTATGCATAAAAGAGAAGTGACAGTATTTCTTTATTCTATTTTCTGCCCCTGTCTCTGTGAATTAAAACTTGATGGAATTATATTCATTTATTTCAAAAGGCACAATGTTGACAGTCAACTTTTCCCTATAAGACTCTGGAAACATTTTTTCTAAACTTCTATTTGCAAATGTCACCTACATGAATTATATTTACTTTTTGTTTTATGACTTTAAACTCAGACAACACAGACAAGGTAAACTTTAGCAGTCTGAGAATGAACTGGCAGTTAAGATATCCAGCTCAAGGAAGAAGCAGTATTTACTGATGAAAAGACAAGCCAGCACCTGTTCAGAGTTGCATACCCAGTACCCCATCAGAATGGTACTGAAACAGCAGCCCCCACCCTTGCAGCAAGCATGAGCGAAGGGGCTGCAGAGCCAGAGGACACAGGTAACACCTTCCTGCAAGCTCCGTGGTACTTAGATTTCTGGGAAGAAGTTAAATAATTCAACTAGTAGCCTAAGCAAATAATGTAATGACTTAATGTATTCTTTTAAAACATATATTATGCAGTTAAGTATGAAGTATTAAGATAAAACATTTTACAAACCTTTATAAAGCCATTTATACTTGTACATATGTATCTAAGAAAGCTGAAAATTTATGTCCACATAAACATATACACAAATGCAATAGTGGCATTATTCATAATAGCCTAAAAGTGGTGACAATCCAAATGCCCATCAACTGATGAATGGATAAACAAGACATGGTATTGTCACATAATAGGATATTATTCAGCTATAAAAAGGAATAAAGTACTGACACCTGCTACAACATGAACTTTGAAAACATGCTAAGTGAAAGAATCAGACAAAAAGGACATATATTGTGTGATTCCACTTATATAAAATGTCCAGAATAGGTAAATACTTACTGACAGAAAGATTGGTTATTGCCAGGGGCTGGGAGGAGTGGGGAATGTGGAGTGACTGCTAATTGGTCTGAAGTACATGAGGTTTCTTTCTTTTTTGAGATGGAGACTTGCTCTGTTGCCAGGCTGGAGTGCAGTGGTGTGATCTTGGCTCACTGCAATCTCTGCCTCCCAGGTTCGAGTGATTCTCTTGCCTCAGCTTCCCGAGTAGCTGGGACTACAGGCGTGCGCCACCATGCCCAGCTAATTTTTGTATTTTTCGTAGAAACGGGATTTCATCATGTTGGCCAGGATGGTCTTGACCTTTTGACCTCATGATCCACCTGCCTTGTTGTCCCCAAGTGTTGGGAATTACAGGTGCGAGCCAGTGTACCCGGCCGAGGTTTCTTTTAAGGGTGATAAAAATATTCTGGAATTAGGTAATGGTGATGGTTGTACAATTTTGTGAACACTTTAAAACCATAGATTATATACTTTATAAGGATGAATTTCAATGCTTTGTGAATTCTAAATTTTTTACAAAGCCATGTAAAGTTCGCACATTCTCAAGGCACAAGGAAGAGACCTTGGGTTTGTGTTCAAACTTTTACTTTAGAATAACTTTTTGGAAAAAGTGAGTTTCTGAGTGTTAACTTGTAAGTAGGCATGAATATGTATTCAATGAATATCAGTTGAATCTTACTACTAGTTGGAATGGGTGGTATTCCAATGCTGGGCACTGGAGAATGAAGGGCCAAACTGGACATTAATAGATCATATAGGGTCTATTTGTATTTATTGTAAACATTTGGTCTACTTACATGAGACTTTTGGCTGAGCTGATTGCTCACTTTAATGACCTTTGCACAACACCTACTTGCTTAAACCAGCTGTGACATGGTATCATGAGAACACCAATTAAAAATACAATAAGGAAGGAAAAAAAATACCTTGTTTATCATGGTCTCTTTTGCATTACTATTCAATTACTAATGGCATTTAAAAACAGAAAAGTACTCACTGCCCCCTCAGCCTTGCACACTACTCCCCTCACAGCTCTTTTAAGGCTTGCTCCCTTGTTTCATTCAGGTCTTTGCTCAATTTCACTGGAGCAGATTCTCTTCCGAGGACGGCGCCTGGGAAGGGCTCTCTAATCACCACCTCTCTCCTCTTCCACTTGCTCTCTAACTCCATACCCTATGTTTCTCCATAGCCCTTAGAAATATCTGACTTTAAATTACACTTATGTTTTTAATTCTTTATTGTCCATCTCACCCTACTCTATGAGAAGACTTGGTCAGTCTTGTTCATAAATATATTATATCCACAGAGCCTACAACTAGGTTGGGCACATAGTAGGAGCTCAATTGTTATGTGACTGAGTAAACTGAATGGATAAAATCCCCTTCACAACACCTGGGCATTACTCCAGCTTTTAGTTCCTTCTTAATTCCCTTCTTAAATTCCCTTTATGATCCTTCATTCTCTTGCTAATACCCTTCATTTCTTTCCTCCAGTCTCCAATAATTGTATTCACCTCACAAAAGTACCAAGCTATATGCTTTCTCTGTGCTGGGAATGGTGCAACTCAAAGTGGCTGGAAGAAAATTATAGAATTGGTTGATTGGTTTCACATTAAATTTATGACCACAAACTCTGAATGGGCCATCCCTCATGTACAGCAATTCTGCTATACTTCTTGAGTAGCTTGATTTTCAACTTTCCAAGATGATATTTCTTGTCTTTTCCTCTCTTCTCAAACCCTTTTCTTTCCATTCTTGCTTCATAATCTTGGGAAAAACAGAAACATCGGAGCAGAAGCTACTCATTGCCACACCATCAAATCTACAAGCCTGGCTGAAATCATTCCATCCTCTCTGCCCTCCCTGTTGTTGCAATGAAAGATAAGACTGGTTGCATCGAACAGCAATTCCCTCCATATGTACAGTGGATCTCATCTCTCTCACCTCCTCAAAAGTTGCTTCTTCAATGATTTCCTCTCCCTCCCTCCCCACTAAGATCATTCCCATCAATCACAAGCATGCTCTGGAGTCATATCTCATTGCTTCCGTT